GTAAATCATCCTATCAAACTGCACACATTGTGCGTACTTAGCCAAAAAAATGGCAGCTCATAGTATTATCTTATTTTACCATGTAATCTTCATGTTCTGTCTTTCAGACCAAGCATTTTATAGAACTTAATATCTTTAACCAAAAAAATGTAATTTAGACCTACCTTTTACAAGGCTTTTTATATGTTAAGTATATTAAATATCAACAGTAAACTTCAAACCCATTCTGAATTGAGTATTATTATCCTCATTTTATCGATGGAGAGGCTGAGGTTCAGAGATGTTAAGTAAATTATTTAAGGTCACACAGTATGCAGCAGAATTGGAAGCTGATCTCAGGTCTATTTGCCTGTAAACGGATGGACCTCTACTAAAATTTGCATCCCTTCTTAGGGTCTACAATGTGGATATAAAAAGACAGACCCACTGGGTAATAGAGAATATTATTCAAGGATGTACATTATTAGTACCTAAAGTAATATAGGAGTGTTATAAAAGAAGCCATTAAAGAACATATAATGTAAGAGAAACTATAAGATAAAGTAGAAAGTGATTCTATATAAGAGTTAAAAATAAAATGCTACAGAAGTTCAGATAAATTACTAGGAGGAAACCAGGGGGTAGGGGGATGGGAATCAAGGCAGATTTCATGGAAGAGCTGAAAATGGGCAGAAGGCTGACACAGGAAGGAAAATATTCTAAGCACAAAACAAACAAAAAGATCCAATGAGCCAAGTCAGAAGCAAGACTGCATGAGGCTGAGCAAATGGTTATGTTCAGGTAACAGCCTCATTTTTTTTTAAATTGAAGTATAGTTGATATACATTATCTAAGTTATAGGTATACAACATCGTGATTCATAATATTTAAAGGTTATACTCCATTTATAGTTATTATAAAGTATTGGCTATACTCCCTATGTTCTACGCTATATCCTTGTAGTTTATTTTATACATAATAGTTTGTACTTCTTAATCCCCTGCCCCTATATTACCCCTTCCCCTATATTACCCCTCCCCTTGTCCCTCTCCCTACTGGTAACCACTAGTTTGTTCCCTATATCTGTGAGACTGTTTCTTTTTTGTATAGTCACTAGTTTGTTGTATTTTTTAGAGTCCACATATAAGTGATGTCATACAGTATTTGTCTTTCTCTGTCTGACTTATTTCACTTAGCATAATATCCTCCAAGTTCATTCATGTTGTTGCAGATGGCAAAACTTCATTCTTTCTTATAGCTGAGTAGTATTCCACTGTGTATATATATCACATTTTCTTTATCCATTCGTCTGTGGATGGACACTTAGGCTGCTTCCATATCTTGGCAATTATAAATAATGCTGCTTTGAACAATGGAGTACATGTTTATCTTTTCAAATTAGTGTTTTCATTTTTTTCAGATATATACCCCAGGGTGGAATTGCTGGGTCATGCGGTAGTTCTATTTTTAGTTTTTGGAGAAACCTCCATACTGTTTTCCACAGTGGTTTCACTAATTTACATTCCTACCAACAGTGTACGAGGGTTCCCTTTTCTCCATGTCTTCACCAACGTTTGTTATTTGCATTATTTTTGATGATGGCCATTCTGACAGGTGTGAGGTGGTATCTCAGTGTGGTTCTGATTTGCATTTCCCTGATGATTAGCAACATGGAATATCTTTCATGTGCATGTTGGCCATCTGTACATCTTCTCTGAAAAAATGTCTATTCAGTTCTTCCGCCCATTTTTTAATCAGGTTCTTTGTTTTTTTGCAACAGCCTGATTTTTAAAGTAAATTTATAAAAGAGAATAGTGAAAACTAAGGCTGATGGTAGTTTGAGAACAGGAAGGCCTCAAATGCCACCATTTCTGCTTCTCATCAACACTGGATAGATAAAACAAAGACAAGGTCATGTAGACCTGGTGCATGGCATACTCTATCTTCCCATTTTCAATCTGGCTTCTACATCACTCAATTTTTGACCAACACATGTAGTCTTTAGGCACCCATAATACTTAAAGTGATTATTTCTTCTCTCTGGAACACATCTTATGAAATTCTTATCTGTCCATTTTATCAACAAACATTTTCCATCTGTTGTAGATTAATGAGACCACATAAAATGAACCGTTTTGTATCTGACTTTCACCAGTGTGATTTTAAATATTGCTTTTTCACTCCTAGTCTCAACAACAGAAAGGTTGTTTGCCCTTTGCTCCTGAAGGCACCATTCCCACCTAAAACTAGAACTAATCCTTTACCACTTCCTCTAGAAGTTGATTTTCTACAGTTTCCTCCCTTTATTGCAAGACTTGCAGACTCCAATGTAAGCAGCAGCTCATAGATAAAGCAATGGGTATGAAACTGTTTCTACTGCAGATCAATCATAATATCTATATCATTATACTGTCTTTCAAAACACACTTGGACAAGATGAAACTGATCGCTGAATCATATGCAGCCACTCTGCCACCTTTCCTATACTATATCTTCATACCTTATCTTTATTGTTTACCTAGCTTCCCCATTAGACCTGGTATTTTGAGGGCAGGAGCTATGTTCATTGGGGAAGACAGACATATAATGTATAATAATAAAATATGATAAGCATTATAATAGAGCTATATACATGGTGCTATGGGAAGGAAGGAGTTATCTAAGACTGCTTCTTCTTCTAAGACTGACATGAAGCTTAATCCTGATGGCTATTTAGGATCTTGCTGGGCACAGTCAAGAAGAAAAGGGCATTCCGGCTCAAAGAAATAGAATATGCTTGATTTAGAGGTATTAAAGAGCAGAATGTTAAGGAATTGCCAAGCATTCCTGGACAGATAGAGAACAGGCGCATGTAAGAATGCAGCTGGAGATGAAATCAGAAAAGGACGCAGGGGTAAGACCACAAAGAGCAATAGGGGACCCTTTGAAAGTCCTGAGGGGGAAACAGCACCATCTCCTGTGACACTGTACAGCGCACAGGGGCGGGGTGAAAGAGCAAAGACCAGGAGACGACTGAGGAGGCGATGGCAATGACAGGTGTGTTACATGATGAGCCTGGACTAAGGCAGCAACAGCGAGGGTAAGTAGGGGAGAGAGCTGAGAGTTATTAGGAGAAATAATAACCAACAGAACTTGCTGACTGGATGTGGAGAAATCAGTAATATTTTAGTGACTTCTGGCACAGGCCACTGGATTGCTGATGGCGCCAAGGCCCGATAGAGAGGCTGGCTCTGGCCCACATTAACATAAGCTCCAGATTCCTTTATTGCCCAAAACCCCATTATTTAACCCCATCTTTCCACACCCAAGCCTCCAGTTCAATGCAGGTCCTCGCTGACTCACACATGTCTCCTAGGTAGCTCCCCCAACAAATGTCTACCATAATCCAGTCTTTCTCAAAGTGAGCTCTACAGCCTACCTGAAGAATCTCCGGTGGTGCTGGATAAAAAGGCAGTGTTCTTGGCCCTATCCCAGACCCCATGAGGGAGAAAATTTGCATTTCGGTATAGCTTCAACTTTGAGAACCATTAGCTTAATCCAGCCTGCCTACTACTATCAAATTTATTTTTCTTAAACCCTGCTCTTCCTCCTCTGACTTGCTTGCTAAACTAATTTCTAATCGTCTACCTGGACTTCAAGACTCTCTTCCAACTTAATTTTTGAATCTTTCAAATATACGTTTTTGTTCTTTATTCTAACAAAGGCAACCTCATCTCTCACTTCCCTCTTCTCCTCCACCCCCTCTATCCAACAAAATTTGGTTCTTTCTCCAAGCCTTTGCATTGAATGTCACTTCCATAATCTGAGAGCTTCTCCACCTTCTCTCCTCCCCAGTCAAATCCCAGCTACCATTTACTAACTATTCCTGAAAGTCCAGAACTTTGCATGGAGTTTTCTCCAATTACTCTAACTCTACTTCTCTCTCCTGCTTATGTATTCCTATTACTCTTACACTCAGCAGGCACAATTTAAGGTTTGATTATTTCAACATATATTATTGAAACTATAAATTCTCTCATTCTTATTTCTAATCATCAGTGCACCTAAAACACATGTTGGCACATAATAAGCACTAAAGAAATATTTGTTCATTTTTGGAATTATCCCGAAAGATCGACAGCTTTTTCCCCCTAAATGTCACATGAATTAAAAAAGAAAAAAAGAGGACTTCAATTTTTAAAAGCAAAACAAATGTAAATATATTCACTGTTCCAGATATCACGGTACTTGGTGATGCTGTAGATAATGTTTCCTACCCTGTTTTTGAAATACAGACTGCTGAATCATGAAGGGCAGATAATTACAAATAGCTCTTAATCACAATATACAGGCCACTTTTGGTGTATTATGTGTAACAGTGTATCATGTCACTGTGACACTGAAATACGGTGTCTCAAGTACAGAACCTTTAGGAGACAGGAACAGAGAGAACCTTAAAAGATAATTCAAGCCAATCACTTCAGTTTATCCACTTAATAACTGAATCTCAGAGAAATCACATGATTTGCCCAAAGTCACAGAGCTGTGGAGTAGCACCCAACCAAGACAAGCACTCAGGCCTCCTAACTGAACACCAAAGGTTGCTTTCATTACACTCTGAGCTTCAGTGATACTAAAGCAAAGTGAGATACTTTGATAAGAATTCCTGTTAGCATCAACCAGCCTTTTAGGAGTCTCTCCCTGCCATCCTGCAAAACTGAGGTCAAACACACAATTTCCTCAGAATCCTAAGGACTGAACGAAACAGGCACAATTCCAAAAAAAAAATTTGTAAAAGGAAGGAAAACTTTCTAAGACAAAATATACAAGCATACTCTAGCTCTAAAGCATTCCCCAAAGCCACAGGAAAAATACTTACCATAGCTAAATTCTAATCACCTGATCTTAATATTCTTCTCACTGCTTTGGTTAAAATATACAACAAAAGAGGAACCAAACATATAAAACACTATAAGCAAAAATCACTCAATCCCCAAAAGCACACGTTCACATCTAAGGATAAAACTTCTTTTTGTACTCACCGTAACTTTACTTCCAACTATCTGCATGCAGTGGTCAACGGAGAGTGATTATGGTGTGAAAAAAAAAAAAAAAAACAAACAAACAGCAACAGCATTAGTAATCAGAAGCTTTTCACAGAAGTTAAGTGTTTAGTAAATTAGTAACTAGCTAACCATATGTGTATTTTTAATATGTTAGATCTAGAGGCTAACACAAATACACTGGTACTGACTTCTACCATATTTCAAAAATGTTTAAAGTCTGCAAAATAAAGATTCCCAAATAAAAGATGATCACTATTTGAGAATTTTTTTTTAATATTCTGTAATCGGCTACTCAGCCAGTGCAGTCTAAATATCAGGTAATGCAAGATTAAATGTAATCAGGAATCAGATATTTTATCAGCCCACAACCCCTCAAAAATTATCAATAGAAAATTGAATTTTTTCCAAATACTGCTTTTTTTCTCTTTCCTTGTTGTAATCAGTATACTGTTTAGGTTGAAATCAGGTGTTTTAGAATATAAATAGTGCATTTAAAGTCATGTATTAAGTTAAGAAATAAACTTTAGACTGAAAACTGGAAAACTTTATATTGTTATGAATTTAAGGTTTGAAACATTGTTTTATATTAGACTTGAAAATTACAAAGATAGATTGCTTATGATTCTAGTTTTCTAGGTCATCCTAGCATTTCTATTACAAGAGCAGAGTTTTCTATATAATGTGAAGACAAAGAAGCAGTTTATATTTAAACATACAGTTACTCATAAGGAGGAAACAGCTCAAAAACTGCAACTTCAGTCAAGCTTTCCTAATGGTTAAGAGATAAAAGAATTTCTGAGAGGCAGAACTGTGTTTAAGAAAGCAAGAGGCAAAAATCAGAGTCCCAAATGTAATTTGATGCCAAAATCCAAATATAAATCATTCTTATCAGATTTCCACACTTGAATATCATGTTCCAAAAAGAGCTACTCTATAATCTAAAATCAACGAACTTAATCCCTACAGAGTACACCTGAAACTAACACATTATAAACTGACTATACTTCAATAAAAAATTAAACCATTAATCTGATAGCAGTTATTATCAATATGTGTTCTATTTTTCAATTAGTACTTTAAAAATAAAAAATGTAATTGAAATCCCAATAAGAATCCTAAATTGAACGGGATACCTCAAGATACAAAAAGATAATGACAGTTTCCCACTAGGTTATTTCATTGGAATCCATGAATCTCCAACTGGAGAAGCTGCTTCCTTAAATATTCATTCGACAGACTATTTACAGGCAGTGATTATTTGGTTGAATAAAAGCCTCTTTGGTGCCATTAACAGTCTTCTGAATTCAAAGATATGCTATTGACCTAAATTATTTCCTCCCACAAAAAAGACAGAGGTCTTATTTGTCCCTTATTTATTTAGCACAGACATGAAACTAAAAAAAGAATGCAAGCCTGTCTTAACAATTAAGGCAGGTCTATATTCAGTGAAACGACCAGAATATGGCCCATTTAATGATTCATTCAACTGGCAAAATGACTGCATTTAGCTAAAGCACATCCAGCAAATAGATGACATGGGCCAAGGAAGCCAAAAGAAATTGATTTGGTCATGTTTGGGTTCAGTTGTTTCACCATATCCAGGTAATGCCCGGAAAAGACCTGAGAAACAAAATATCTGACAATGGCCAAGGCAAAACCACAATATATGTCTACACACATACTAATAGACATACTGCAACTCTCAACTGCTTATTATGTGAGTCAATCTAAAAAGAAACTTATCGATCTATTTGGTTATCACTATTTTAAATTATTTCCTGTCACATTTTTTAAATCAGTGATAACTTCATAGAAATATAATTTTACATATTTTTAAATCTCAACTTTAAAGACTGCAATTTAAGTTAGAAATAAACTAGTTTCTTAGAATTATCCTAATGGCATTGACATCTGGCAAACTGATGTTAGGATTTCGATGACTAAATTTTTCCTCATAGCTATCTATATAGCCTGTTAAAATATAACATGTAAGATTCCCAATAAATCACTAATGCATTTATTGTGCCTCTTTCAGGATTATGAATCGGTATGACGATGTTGCAATATTTAAAAAAGCCTGGTTTTCCATTTCTGAAAACATGTTGGTGTTTTGAAAATCTACTCTTCCATATTATCTGGCCAAATTATCCGTGTACCAACTGCCCTGGGTCAGGGCCATAACTGCGCTTGTTGCAATGAGCGTACGAGTCCAGCTCGAGCAGAAAAGAGGCTGTTCTCTGCTCCCTATCTAAAGTCCATTCATCACTGACAGCAACTCAAGCTACTTTTTTCCTTTCACATTATGGGACTTGAAGGGGAAAAAAACTAAGCAATGGTTTTCAATCAGTATCTTTTAATTTCCTTTATATTCTCTTATTTCAGGCTAATTTGGACACAGTTAATTACACAACAAAAGACTCTCTTTTGCTTTAGAAACAGGTTTTGAGCACAAGCCTGTGTATTAGTTTTATATTGCTGTACTGTCCTTACCCCGGAACCCAGGAGAATGACGGGCGTTTCTTAATAGTGCTCAAATTTCATTGGTTTCTTTTCCAGTTCCATAGAAAATGACTAATGCAGGTGTTAAAGAGGGAAATGTACAATTTATGTTTAAATTTAACTATAATTCTCACATGTTTCACATATGACTATAAAACATTTTTCCACCAGGGACTCTAGCCCTTAACTTTCTTTTCACTTCAAATTTGAAAGTTTTGACTATCTGTAAAGTATTTTCATAAAGAAGTGCTTACAATCATATCTACTTTAAATGTTGGAAACATTTTGACCCAGTGTATCAAGATGATGAAAAAGTAAGCATAAAAAAGCATGGCAGGCAAAGCATATCTAGAGCCTAAAAAAAGACAGCAGGATGGAAACCTTGCTTACACACAGGTAAACAGCCATAGGTGAGGTTATAATTTATGCAAATTTTATTGTCATGATCATGCAGCAGTCAAAGGATGAGAAGATGGTTTGTCACTGTGTGGCATCCCTCTCAGCTTCAAAAGGAAAATCATATATGCAATTTTCTTTGTTTTAGCCACAGAAAACTCAGCACTAATTAATGTCTCGCCAAGGTGAGAAAGCTTTAAAACATGCTTATCAACAGGCTTTCTTGCATCCTAATATTGGGTCCATGAAAAATATTGGCAAATAAAATGCATAACCTTAGAACTCTAATGAAAGTTCTGTACATATGTCAGATGCTCATATGTGTACTAAATGAAACAAATTTAAGTCATCTACTAGTTGTAGTATTGATTTTGAAGCTAATGCCTTAAACACAGAATTTTCATGTATTTCGAGAAACATTCCATTTCCATCTTTCAGATAAAGCAATTCAAGAGAGCTCATCTAACGTTCACCCAAATTTTAGAATTTTAATCTAAAAAATGATTCTATAATTTAAAATGTGCATTTTTCTGGTCGGTTGAAGAGGAAACAGTGTAAGAACAAGTGAAAGTAAGTTCTACACAGAGATAGAGTCAAAATCAAAAGGTTAAGGAATATGACCTTCATACAGTCTGCATCATATTCAGTCCCACTTACACAAACAGAAACAACAACAAATGAGCTAGAGACACTAACAAAATCTTGTCATTAAAAACACCACATAATTACTCATATATTACTATCTGTACTTTGCACTCAGATTCAGCCCTATGGATTTACTAGTGTATTTGCCTTTAGGAATTTGAAAAAATAACACCGAAGGTACACCCTGCATTTCCTGAAGCATTTTACTGTGAACAATAACTTGAGTGCAAAAATGAGAGGAGATTCATCAGAATTTCAAAGTAAAACCCTATGCCTCACCTAATTCTATTGAAAACGACGCTCATGGCAAATTTCACTTATCACTTGAAACATATTTCTGCCCTTGGATACCAGAAGCAAATTAAAAAACATGCTGTTGCTCTGCTCTGGCAGAGCTGCAATGCGTTACGTTTAAATAGTTTAGTGTTCAGATTTAGCTTGCTTAAAGTACAATACAGAATCAATACAATAGTAGAATTCAGGGCAAAATGCATCAGTAATTGCCACTGCAATTACTGTACTGAAACAGCATTAACAGGACAGCCAAATAATTTTAGAACATATTTTTCCAATGAAGAACTATTTTATTCACTGGTCAACATTTTAAATTTAAATTATGTATGTTTTAAATATGACTGTGTATGTGTAATATACATACCACACAAACATAAAATCACTGGGTCTGTGTTTTGTGTGTGCGTATATATATATACATACACATGCATATATAATATATACACACATAGTGATTTTCTGAACTCTAAATGTGAAAAGCTTCTTCACAGAAATGTAAGAGAGACAATTCACCTTTTCAAAATATACTTTTTTTCTTACAAAAATAAATCAAACCTGAAAACTATTTTTGGAAGCACCTTAGGAAATGAATAAAGCAACACATTGCATTAAAACACTAAGTTTTTCCTGCTGAAAACAAGTCTTTTCAAAGAGCCCTACTTTCAAGTCTTGAGACTCACACACACAGATTCCATTAAAGTTCCTCTTAAGCACCCTCCTTTACGTTAAATGAAGCTGTACAATAACAATCATGAGGTAGCTTACATAGGTAGCATCAAAAAAATAATGGAAAAAAAATAACAAAACTGCTTATTAAAAATACCACTAAAAATTTCATGCAAGCAGATACCAGATACATAGCTTTAATGTAAACTTAGTCAAACCTTGTGACTAGGTTATGCTTGTGTCTTCTCCCTCAAAATCTGAAATTTTCATGTAACAAACTGCAGACTAAGTGGAACACCTGCAAATTGCTGTCATTGGTTAGTGAGGGCATGAAACCTCCACCCCAAAACTTCCTAGATTAACTTAGAGCCTTCTCTTCTTTGCCTGGTTGATAAGAATGGAAGTCTAAGAACAGTTTTGAAATATATACTAAGTGTGCCAAAGTACATGTATATGCTTTTTTTACGAATAGTCTATATGAGTACATTGAGGCAAGAACTGAGAAATCTGAGGTTTGGTTATTTTTAAGCAGATAAAGCTAAGCTCATTACGTGCTTGCCAGGAAAGTCTCACTACTTACAGATTTGGCAGTAGCGGAAATATACTGGCCGACCATCTCACGTTTGGTGGTAAAATCTTTGTTTCGTAAAGGAGCTTTCCGTTCTTCGTTAAGGTTCATGTCCTCCTGTTAAAAAGAACATTTATTGTGAGCAGTAGCAAACTTCTGCTTGAAAGTTTCCGAAGTGATTAATAAATATTAATCTTCTCTGTCTTAAAATAGTAAGTCATGCTGTGACCAACAACACTCATCATTTTTGTGGCTCCTTCAATATTATTTTTCACTCTAGATACCATAATCTTCTATAAATTTTACCACATATTCATGGTTCATAGCTCTACCTACTCAACAAATGAGCAGAAAGAAAAACATATTTTTAAACTATTCCACAGAATAAACCGGCAGTTTACAGCATAGATATACATCATACAGCCTTAGCAAAGCTATTTATTTACCCTGATAGCAAAAATAAACAAATAAACGAACACTTTACTATTTGGCATATGCTCCTTTAGGATCATTACCATCAAGAAGAGTAAATATGATTTGTAAATTAACAGGAAATATGTATCTGTAATATGTCACTGAAGAAAAATTCATGAGAAGTTGCAGAATTTAGAAAAGAAAAAAAAAATCAGAAACATAGTTATCTGTATTGGGGTAACAAAAACTACTCACTGAGGGGAAAAACAGTCAGTTACAAGAACACATTGTTTTGAGGTTCAATGAACTTTGGGTGGGAATGTTCCTTTATCTTGTGATACACACACTTGTGCAACTTTCACTACACATATTATTTTTCTTCATTTTGAAACTCATGTTAACCCCTGCATCATATTAAGACACTCTTGAAGGGTCACGAAACCAAGTTGGAAATGACCATGCTTCAAAAAGCAACACCACTGACACAACATTGTAGATTGACTATACTTCAATAAAAAATATATATATACACCCAAAAAAAAAGCAGTATCAAATGAAGAGACAACGTACAGAATGCAAGAAAATGTTTACAAACCTTACCTCTGATAAGGGATCTGTATCCAAATTACAAAAAGGATTCTTATAAATCAACAGTAAAAAGACAAATAACCCAATTAAGAGGGCAAAGGATTTGAATAAATATTTCTCTAAAGAATATATACAAATGGCCAATGAGCATGTGATGTTCAACATCCTTAGTCACTGGGGAAATGCAAATCAAAACCACAGTGAGATACCACTTCACTCCCATGAGGATGGCTAGGATGAAAAGGTAATAATAACAAATGCTGGTGAGGATGTGGAGAAATTGGAACCCTAACATGCTGCTGGTGAGAATGTGAAATGATGCACTCTGGAAAATAGTCTGGCAGCTCCACAAGAAGTTACAGTTATGACATGGCCCAGCTTATATCCAAGAGAAATGAAAACATGTTTCCACACAAAAACTTGTGTGTGATTGTTCATAGCAGTAGCATCAAAGAGTGGAAACAATCCAAATATCCACCAAGTGATGAATGGATAAACAAATGTCATATGTCCACACAATGGAATAATGTTCAGCCATGAAGAGGAATGAAGTACTGATACATGCTATAGCACGGATGAACCTTGAAATCACATTATGCTAAATGAAAGAAGCCTGTCAAAAAAGATGATAAATGATTCCATTTATATCAAATGACCAGAATAGGCAAATCTATAGAGACAGAAAGTGGATTCATGGTTGTCAGGGGCACAGTAAGGGGGGATGGGAGAATTGGGGAGTGACAACTGACAGATATGTTTCTTTCAGGTGTGATAAAAATGTTCCAAAATTGATGTGATGGTTGCACAACTCTTTGAATATATAGAAAAATACACTGAACTATATCCTTTAAGAGGATGAATTTTACAGCATCTGAATTATATCTCAATTTTTTTAAAAAGGAAATCAGTATTTTTATCCCTTTACTTGCTGAGCAATTCTTACATTATTTTTTTAATCAAGTAAACTAATGGGCAAACCAAAAAAATTAAAATTATTTTAAAGATTCATATGTGAGAAATGGGGGGGGGGCAAAGGAGCCATAAAAAAATATTCAAACCACATCTATCTATTGAATAGTAACTTTAATGACCGCAAGAATCTCATGATCGATATTTGCACCCACTGCAGTGACTCTTATGATTCACTCAAAATCAATACCTATAAATTTCGTGTATATATACCTGACCCCCCTTCCTAATCACCTCTACTTCTACTTTTCCTATCTTATCTCATTTCTCATTTGTATATCCTACTTTTTAATGACTTACTTAAAGGCAGGAGACATCTTTTTCCTCTCTTTCTCTCAGGCTAGATCTAGCATTGTTGGATCAAAGCAGAATCACAGAAATGAGACTAGATAGCACTCTTACGAAGTCACAGATGCTCATCTATGTTCTGTGTCGATTTCAACTAACAGGTAACTCACAATCTCCACAGTCTGCCCGTCCCATTATAAGGCAATTTAATTTTTGCAAAGTTTTTCTTTGGAGGACTGGAGCTAAAATATGTACAACAAAATACTAATATGTTAAGGTGGCAGGACTGTGTCATTTTTTCTTCCCTACTTTCTAGAATTTGAATCCCTTATTGACTGAACATGGGCCACACACCAGGGGATCATACTATGTATGCTAGGCTGGCTAAGGAGTGCAAATTTGAAAGACTGCTTGTACCCACAAATGAAATGAGTTATTATTTGTGAAACACTTAGAACAATGCCTGAGACTAGTAAATGCTCTATTTGTTAGTTAGATAGGTAAAAATAAACAATTCATGGTCTAGGAGGGAAAAGAGATATGCAAACAAATCATTATAACAGAGGCATGTAGAGGATGTCTAGCCAGAGCGGACAGTTACGTTTAAAAATTTGGGCTACTGAAGTAATTCAAAAAACTGGTGCTGAGAGTCCGAACTAAGAGAGATCTGAGATAGCCAGACTGGACAGAGGGAATAAACTCAAGGAACATGTAAATGTTATATGAAAGCCACATTCTCTCCTTCAGGATAAAGTATACCTACCAGCTTCAACCTATCTTCAGTGTCTCTCTCAAATACTGTGTTTGATGAATCCAAGGAAGGAAAGGACTTTCCACCTCCTTCATCTTGTAATACTATACCTCTATTAATTCAGCCTTTGATTTTATGACCTTATTGGCAAGAACATCATTCTGCGGACTCACATTGTGTTTGTTTCCATCAAAACCCCTAAATACTGCTCACATATGCTAGACTATGTCTCTCCGATCTCAAAACATACTAATTAAATTACAGTCTCCTGCAAACATGGTTAGTATGAACCTGCATCCCCCAAGTAGAATCAACTAAGGAACACGACAAGACTGAGTGTCTGTATTTGCACTTCACAGCCAGGCCTAAGAGTGTGGTAACACCACATTTGGCATCTCTAGACAGAGAGCTGGCTCTTCCTTCTGGTGACATTTCTACGGTACCACGGACCTCCAATTCAATTTTTAACGGGAAACACTGCTAAGATCATGCTATCAGAAGAGAATCATGGAGGCAAGGAGGACAATAAGGGGAATACGGAGATTATAGACCTCAGAGGAATGTTGTCAAGATTAAGTGTGATCATGTAACCAAGCCTGGTGTATATTACCAGTTGTCAAAGAATGCTAGCTATTAGTGTTACTATCACCTCCCTAGTCTCAGGGGTTTTTGGTTGTTGCTGTTTTAACACTTTCTATCTTACCCTTTTTGTATGTTCGAATAATAAAAGGTCGTCTGTAGTTTTTCTACATACACTATGTGGTTACACACTTCCATTACTTCGCTCATGATGCTGTTGTCTCTGCCTAGAATGCTGTCATCTTCACCACCCTCTCCCTCTATTAACTCCCATCTCATCCCGCCTCACCCCAACCCGCTCAAATCCCTATCTGGCTAACTCAGATACTTCTGCTAATTCTTCAGATTTTCCCCCAAAGCACCTCATCTAGAAATGACTATCTTCATTCTATTCTTCCATAATAATTTCCTATATTATAGCACTTAAAACAAAACTCTGATAAATCCATCTCCCCCAAACTATAAGCTAACTGAGGGCAGAAACTGGGCTCTTTCTGATCTTTATATTCCCAAGCAAAGAGCATAGTTCCTGGAATGCACCAAGCATTTAATAGATATTTGTTGAAGCAATGTGGCATTTAGGAGCTTTTTCTCTAAATATCTTAATTTGCTTTACAGCCACAAACATTTTGTTATACCTCTAAATTTGCTGTACAGGTTGACTGCACATAGGTACCATTCATATGAACAGAAGAGATCATAATGACTCATCTTATTCTTATAGAAAGCAGCAGCATACTACTAATTAGGCAGCTAATACTTCCAAATCATTAACTCCAGCTTTATAATATAATCATAAAACTAAATAGAGCAATACTCATAATTCAATATTAATTCTAAACAACATAATTGAACATGAAACTACTTCCAAACACACTGAGTTCTTATAGTACTCAAAACACAAAAGTTTTTAGGATATTTAACATTTAGTTTGTACTTTCACAGGACATGAGAAGAATGTAGTGCTTTGTGGTTTTTAAAAAAAAATGCTGAAGTCTAAATAACTGACCACTTATAATATTTGTATTGTATTTGCATGAAGCCGAATTTGTAAACTGAACCACTTTTTCTCCTTCCACTTATGCTATGATGCAATTCTCCTATTACAGACAAACTCCTTCACTTCTTCAGCCGATAAACATTGTATTCTTAAAGTTATTACTGAGGAGCTATATAAGAATAGAGTCAAATTAGAAGTCAAAAGATGGACCAGCTGCCTATTCATTCATTTGTACTTTTTCATTCATTCATTTTCATTCTCTCTCTTTCCTCTCTCCCTCATAAATCTTTAAACAGGTGACAATATAATTTCTTAAAGTTTCTCGTGTTCTAACGTCATTTTCTATTTTCCTAACCCTTCCACTTGTTTTCACATTTGCTTTATGAGAGGTAAATGTCAACACTTTATGTTTTTACATCACTTTCTTCCCTACAGGAAGTGATACTTGCTCCTTCTTTCTATAAAATTGCTATAAATTTCTATGTATTTTCTATAAAGTAACTGTTTGTGTTTCTGCAACATGTATTGATTCCAGCTTTTAAGGCTGGATTTTCCACTTGCTGTTTGTAAATCTGAGTTTGACTTCACCATCAAATATTTGCCCTCTTCCTTCTGTTTCTCAATAGTAATTATTCAACTATTTTTTAACTTCTATCCTGAGGGGACTTGTACCCCTGAAGAGAATGAACCAATGATACTCTGGTACCTAAAAATATATCCTAGCATGAACAGCAATTATAGTGATCTTTGATTATTTCAAGGCTATAAATTAATGGATTTTTACAACATTCGTTTAGCTATTCTTTTCTAAAGATATGTTCATATAAAGATATGGTTTATAGAAACTTCCTCTAGCTTCTATGGACTAGAAAGGACAGAACATTTTTTTTCAAAATTCTAATAAATGTATCAGGGATTTTTCACATAAGTAAATAATTGGCCAGTTGTACCTGGTACTACTTAACTACCAAGTGTCTTCAAAAGAACCAGTGAATTTTACCTATATAGACTGTAGCCACATAACATGTAGAAGCTCACACGGAAAACAAAGCTAAAGGAAAAAAACTGCCCAAATACATTAACTCTACAAATAGTATGGAGGAGCCAAAAGCAGGAAAAAAGCATGAAATAAAGTGAATGTTACTGAGTATTGTACAAAACGTCTTCATCTATTTCTGCTTTCAGGTCCTGTTGGAGAGAACCAACTATGAACACCGACATATACCTCTTTACCATCAAGAAGGTAAATTTAGGATGCATATTTAGATATTAGGAAACACAAACATTATTTTCACTTTCCCATAATCCTTAATCCTGAGCTCAATACTCAATGGGTGATTTTCAGAGGTCAAAGATTACTTCAAGGATCCACTGTGGTTTGTGAAATATTTATTTTTGTTCAAAAACTTTGAAAAAAAATAAGCTGTAATATTTAACACAAGAATAACACTGGATCCACAGGTCCAAAAAGTACACGAGGTATCTTAAGGGGAGAGGGGAGTATTCACAACATCAGTGTACTGTAATGCACTGCAGTTTATAAGTACCTGGTTAAGTAGACTGATAGATAAAACTAGGTAAAAAAGCCTAAGTCAACCCTCAAAATAACAGCAGCAGCAAAATAGAAAAGCACCTTTAAAAGATTCCTGCAAAGACAACAGATTGAGGGCAATAATGACAATAATGCAAGCACAAGGGAACAAGAAAACGTTAAGTCTGAGCCTTTCATCAGCCATATCCTATGATAAAAATAATGAAAATTTAAGGCTAATCGGAAGCTGATCTCACAAGATCAAAAAGTATTAACGTAACTATCTGAAATACGCATGTATATCAATTATCAGTGATGACTCTCACTTTATGTGCATATTGTACCTTAAAATATTAGCTAATGATAGTATAAAGCTACCTCAAACTAGCAGACCACTTAAAATCTAAACATCTAGAGTGTGAGGGAAGCTTTTTCCATTTTCTCAGCAATAATTAGAATCATGCGACATGCAACTCAGTACTCAGTGAAATTTTATAAACTTAATGACACATGTTTAGAAGCCTCTTTTGAATTTCTTCTTTCTTTAATAGCCAAAGACAAAAGGTCCCATGACACTGAGGGAAACACTTGGTAGAAGCAGCTGAAATACTAATAATAATAATAATACATCCCGAACAACATGGCAGTAAACTAAAACACATTCCTTTGTTGGCAAATAACTGTCAGAAGACACATAGAAATCATTGCTGAAAATTTGCTAAAACAAGTATTAGAAAAATTACTCAGTGTGGGAGGTTTATCATAGAGTTGAATGAAAATACAGCTGTTTTTTCTTTAAACAACTCAGCTTGTATTATTTCCTAGATTGTTTCAATAATGAAATATAAAAACCACTTTTCTTTGAGTCACCAATGGAACAATCTAACAGAGAAAATGTACTGCCAAAATAAATGATTTATTTAATAAAAGGATGTATTATGAAAAAAACTTCAAGTGGGACTGTTAACCCACATGTTAAATTCAAACCATTGCAAGAAACCAAAATACCAAAGTGTTGTAGAGAGTCAAGGATGTCTTCTTTTAATAAAAGATATTTCAAATACAGTAAAATATTTACAATTTTTTTAAATGAGATGGGAAGTGAGCATGAAAATGTGCTGTACCTTACAGAGATATCTCTGGCTATCTTAAGACAAAACATTTTAAAACCTCTGAAATTTAAAGTGACTTGGGCATTTGTCATCCACAGAACGATGAGTAATCCCTTAACAGTTTAACAACTAGTGAGAAAGTAACTGGCTTTCAAATGAACTTCATTGAAAACGACACACATTGGCAGACCCAACTTTCAAGTCGGCCTCCTTCCCCCTTGCATTATTCACCTCTTCCTTCTTCCGGGCATTAGAGGCAGTGTCTGCAGCGGATGTGAGTAGACAAACGTCGGGGTGAGGGTCTACATATCAAGAATGTAGAAGAAAAATCGCATAAAGCCCTGCATGTCCCTGATGACAGCTAGCGAAGCCCGTTTCTAAAGCCCATTTTGAACCCATTTATTCACAAATAAACAGATGTAACACTTCAGATTAGTTCCAAGAACAACTGACTGTCATCAGGGAAGATGGAAATGTACTAGCCATGGTCCAGCAGGAAACCTTTGCTTGATTCATGGATTGGAATGAGAACATTAATACTATGATTTAATAAGTGTTGCTAACGATGTTCTCGTTCCACTTGGACCTATGTATCTTTGCCAGATTTATGTTTCAGCTGTAACAGACATCAAACCAAATATCAAAATAAAATGGACTTGGAACTAAACCTTCTAATTAGTCCCTTTTTTTAACCAAGACATAAAAAATAATGACACAGTGACACTGCTCTCACTAAAAAGTCATTAATCACAACAGCAAAGGCTTTGTACCCTTAATAAATAAGATAAACTCACTTTAAATCATTTTCAAATCTTGTTTCATGTTTTTCTCATTCTTTACTATGTCTGTATTTTATAACATACATAGTATCAGTACATATTTTAAATAAAATATATTGGGGTTATTTGCTCAAATATATATATTTTTTTTCTAACAGGGTAGGAAATCAAAAAGTTTGGAGACTACTACACTAGTTCAAAGGTGGACACTTTTTCTGTAAAAGGCCAAACAGTGAATGTTTTAGGCTTTGTGGGTCACAGGGTCTATATGACAACTACCTAACCTCTGCAATTATAGCCAAAAGGAGCCATCGACAATATGTAAACAAATGGCTGTGACTACGGTCAACAAAATTCTGTTTATGAACACTGAATTTCATATAACTTTCATGTGCCCTGAAACAGTCTTCTTTTGATTTTGTGCAACCATTGAAAAATATAAAGACTATTCTTACCTTGGGAGTCATACAAAATAAAGTCGTAGACACAGGGATAGTGTCTGTCGTCCTTCTGTTCCCCTGCACTAACAAAGTATCTGACATTCAGCAGAGAACTGTCAAATAAACGTCTCCATGACAGAGAAATTTGTCTTTGAGTTTTTTTTCCCCCGCATTTACACCTTACATTCTGCTATATCACCTCCACCCGAACATATGCTACTTGATGGTAGAGATTTTCGTTGAGTTGTTCTCTGCTCTCTCGCCCCCTCTTCTGAGCTTGGAAAGGTACTTGTATGTAGAAGACACTGGAACTTGATGAACTAAATCATGCAAACTCTGAGAACACTTTAATGTGAAAAA